TATATGACAGTATATTATATTACTATTTAGATCATTGCAATGATATTTTATTTTAATGCTCTATGTATTAGTGAGCATGAGACTAAATGACATCCTTTGAAAGGTTGAGAGGCCCTAGTATTCACCTCATGGAGCTGAGACTGTATTACATTTCAAGACAGAGATACCCGTGAAGGTCTGGGTTAGAATGTGCCTTCAGTAACCCATGCTTATCGTAAGAGGTGACTAACGGGATCGTGTGGTCAGACTCGCCGACTTGGTTGACACATTGGTTCCCAATTGCGCAGATCGACGATCAAGCTGTTGATCACTGGGTGTCTGGTCCAGACTCGGTTATTTACAGATTGCCGCCAAATAGCTGGAATATTACTGAGTGTGGCGTAAAGATAACTCACTCACTCATTCAAGACAGAGAAAACATTTTCGATTCAGCCTTGACAAACAGCACTTACATGAGCATGAAATCCTTTACTCATGTAACTTCAGTAATTTCTGAAAAAAACTGTCCCCATTTCATGTGGGGTGCACTAAGATGAAAAGCATGGAACAAGGGCGTTAACTTTGTAAAAAAACTCATTTCAGATCCTGATGTCATTTCTCTAACTGAAATAGTTTTTAAGAAAATGTGTCCTTGTCGAGAAGTGGACTGATGGAAGGAAGGATGAATAAATTCCTTCCTGTATCCCCTGGCAGATCAGACACTGCTGCATGCACTGACATTTTGTGTGCACAGAAACATGGCAATATACTAGTTACCACACAACATATCCTATTGATACAACAATGGGCACTGGAATAATTGTACTGAAAATGATAATGTATCACAGTGATTTATCTGAACCAATATTCATCTACAGGTAAGCAGCAAATGCCAGTAAAAATTGAAAAAGTGGTTTGACATTTCAAATTTCTTTGAGTGGCATTTTTAGAAGTTGGGAACTACAATATAGAACAAACTTTATGGATAACAACTTCTTTTTATTCGTGAGTGCGACGTTTCGATACAGATTCTTGTACCGTTGTCAAGCGACTTTTCGATACAGATTCTTGTACCGTTGTCAAGCATAATCTGTATCGAAACGTCGCACTCACGAATAAAAAGAAGTTGTTATCCATAAAGTTTGTTCTATATTTCAAATTTCATGCTGTTACAGTCACAACTAATGTTATGTTTTTGGGCCGATGCTTTTACTGATAACAGGATCAACATATTGCTGGAGGTGTTAGTGTTTATTATTGTATTCAATGTAATGTTAATATTCCATGTCAAAATCCCTCTGAATTTTAATTTTAACAAAATATTACTGTGAGTTTAAAAACCCCAACAAATTTGCACAAAAAACTCAACTTTCCAGCCAACGGCAATTAATTTGGACTCCAAAATATATTTCTGAACACAAATTGGGCTCATACATGATACTGATTCAAAGGCATATTTGATGGCCGATTCCCTTCATGAATTCAATTAGTTGTGGGCCTATATTTAATGAATGCAATTTGCAAAGCAAATATGAACGTGACTAATACCTTTGAATATTCTGCCTTCTCATTGTCCATCTTACCACTGTAACATAATCAATGCAAATGCATCTGCGGTACTCCATCACTACTTACGTATCCATATTCAGAAATTTATATCAACATTTATTGACACATCAACATAGTGATTAATGATGATATCACTAACCTCAAGTGAAATAGTGATATTCATGTTAACGTAGGAGATTCCTAAACCTTTGCCTCAAGCAGTAATAAAATCCTAGATGGCAAGTGCATAATGAGCAATTGCTAGAAGCTAAACTCCCCAGTCAAACTGCATGTTCAATGAGACAGCTGGGTTAATGGTGTCAAATCACTAGTTACACACTAATAAAATCATCAAGCTACCTTTGATAACTGAGTAGAACATGCACTGCTTCCAGTTACCATATTCACCATAATATGTACCCCGGGCAATAAGAATATTACCCAAAGGAGTCTGCTTAAGCACAAGATAAATATGTTGTTGGACAAAACAGTAGAAATAGTTCAAATATCAACGAAACTAAAACATATTTTATAATAGCTATGTGGCAATTATATAGGGAGTTTACACTGCCAGCCATTTGGTGGTGGTCTGTAAGTAATCAAGTCTGGACCAGACAATCCAGTGATCAACATCATGAGCATTGTGATCTCTGCAATTGGGATACGATGACATATGTCAACCAAGTCGGCGAGCCTAACTGATCCCTTTAGACCCCTCTTACGACAAGCATGCGTTCCTGAAGACCAATTCTAACCCGGATCTTCACAGGTTACACCTCAGGATGAGATGTGGTAATTTGGCAATGTGACATACCTTTCTGGTGCCTCACCAGAAATGGAGCTTAGAAAGAAAATTGAGAGCACATGGCTCCATTGACTGCTGTAATAATGATGTTTACCATTGATCATCCTTCAACAGATGGACTGAACTTCAAATATCCAGTTATTAGAAGCATCCTTCGCAATTTACAAAGGCACAGTCAGAGATAGTCGAGGTGTGACCTAAGCAAATCAGCTGTTGTCATGAGTCAGACAATACTGGGAACATCTCTTGACATACCTGTATACATGCCTCCGTATACTACCCTGTATATCACTTGCTTCATAACGGTGTTAGAATCTACACCAAAACATTCTCATTGTAAATAAAGAAGTTGCTCATCCATCTTATCCTTACTTAGTCCTTGGGATACCTTTACAATAGATAAACAGAGTCTATCTGACTCTTACACTCGGGTTAAAGCCAGTGTATATCAATTGTTCACATGACCATCTCATTCTGTCAAGAACCCTTTCTCATAGAAACTACTGGTAGATTGTTTGAGTGTAGCAACTATGTAATGTGCAAACAGTCTTCTGTAAATCATGTTCATTTACTAAATATACTTAATATATTTATAAATAAACACATCCTCTTCAGTTCAAAGGACTATTTTGAGTAAATATGATATCTCTGAAGGATACAGTAATATACTCAAATCATATATACATTATCAACCGATCTGCATATATAAAATGCATAACATGGTGATCTATATAATTATGTGAACCTGTAGCCATGGTGACTGATATATTTTTAAAGACAGTTTCCCCCAGTTGTTTTATGTTATACCATTAAATTTAATCATCAACATGTTAACATATATTCTACTAATTAAATAGTTTATCATCAATACATGATTCAACTTGTTATAGTACTGGTTCATATAATTTTCAAAATTCTCATACAATAATCATTTCACAATTTACAATACACATTCTAAGATTGAACAAAAAATTTCCTTCACCTATACAACTTCTACAAATGCCTCTTAAACAAGATATTCTAAGACTGTTATCATGGCCATATTTATTCATGTTCCCATTAGTTGGATAATGGGTTGTTTTTCGTAGAATGCTGCATGTAAGCGGGTTGTTGTAATATTTACTAACGGGTTATAAAACTATTTTATAACCTGCCCTTGATCCATTGCTACTATCAAGTGACAAGACATTTTATTACACAACGTGCCACGAACATTACCGTGTAACCTACCAATTCATTTATTAAACCCGATAACATTATTACACAAGATAACAATAATCTACCGAGCCATGATGGCCTAAAAGAAGACATGATATCTACAGTGCAAGGTTAAGGCATATATGATATAACGATGTGGTTGTTACTGGTAGGGGATCTAAATGCGTGATGCAAATTGTCATTATTTTCTACATAAAGTTTACTTACCCATAAAACTCCCTTCAAATGGACGGACAGATATCCGGCCACTTGGCAATTAGGTTTGTCCCCCATGTCGTTGATTTGTACATCAGCTATACGTTAACCATGATCCACAACACGGAAGTAAAATGCTTAAACCCGGGAGTTATCTGCCCCTTAATCTTCAATTACAGCGGTGCTTTATGGGTAATAGTAAGCCCGGCATGAAAATAAATGTAACTCCCTGTTCTGTTTTAGTCAATACCGGGTTCGTTCACAGGAATATATGACAGACTTATATTCAGATTTAACTTGCCGAGTATGAGTTTGGAGTGTATATACACATGTGATTATTTAACTGTCTGAATTATCGATATAAGGCCTTATATCCGAAAAGCATACTTTTACATCTCGACCCGCCATGTCAATGTTTAGGGTCATCAGGATCAATCAAGGAAGTCATGAACGATGTTCGTATGTGTGGCCTAAATTATGTCGGTCCAAAATACCATAAAGGTAGGAATGTTGTTACGTGACGTAAACTCAAGCGCTGGTGCAAAATCATAGGCAGATCCAGGGGGCGGGGAAGGGGGTTGCAGGTGTGCGCACCCTCCGCTTTTTCATAAAGCTGTATCCGCCCGTGTGAAAAGTACGTATAAGTTAGTTCTGTACGGGTTAATCTTATATTACAGTAAAAAAGCATGGAAATGATATATAGTTTTAACACTACACTCATGATCTTGGTGCATTTGGTACGGATTCCCTGTAAGCAAACACTGTGTTGGTGGTAATGAATGCATATACATCTATGAGAAAAAGCCTGCCGATGTCGCGAGTTATCAACAAGAACATAAATATGCATATATAGTTATGAGTAGGCCTATATGATTTACTATAGGCGTTAGACACGGTATTCATGTTTCAACAGTGTACAATACACTACGCAAGACATAATATATGGAGTTTGTATATACCACACACAATATGAAAGCAAGCACGCTATGCTAAATGCCAGTCGTATTGTACAGACTGTACTGTACTGAATACCTGTAGCTGTGATTTAGTTTGCACACCGATGTCTAGAAACATATTTTAGAACGATATATACATATGTATATATTTCAACATACCATAGTTTGGAACAATATGTAGGCTACTTTCTAAATGAACGGTTATAAACAAAAATAAATGGAAACTGAAAAATCCCACCACTCAATACACAGAATATTTAAAAATAGATTTCACATTCACTTTCTGGTTACATCGTTACCTCTAGCAAACGAGCCCGATAACACCCTTGTCCGCTGGTTAAAACCACAGCTCGCTGATCTGCAGATGTAGGTTCCAGGTTACACACAGTCCAGTGTTCACAATATACTATATGTTACCAAATCCAGTGCTAACCATCTTAATTAAACAGCATATATGCAGTTATACGACAAAACTAGAAACATTTACCTGCGAAGTTACGCTTGCTCCGAATGTAGTTTCAATGTCCTTGTGTGTTATCATGTGTCCGGGATAACAGAAGAATAAAGCTTTTATTAATCGGGTTTTGAATGGTTTAATGTGAATGTCAGAATGGCCTCTGTATTAAGAGCAGGTTAAACTGTAGACCCTCCGTAGTGAGTTTACATTGATTGATCAGGAAACTGTCTGCCTCGTGCTCATTGAGTGAGTTTAGTTTACGCCGCAATATTCCAACAATAACCCGGCGGGTTACACCAGAAATGGGCTTCACACAATGCCCCTATGTGGGGAATCGAACCCGATCTTCAGCGTGACGAGCGAACGCTTTAACCACTAGACTACCCCACCGCCCCTTTAACTTTAAGATATCGTACAAGCCATTTGCTACTGCTGATATCAGAATGGCATTATGATTTAATGCACCAGGCAATGATGAAGTTAAAACACATGACTTAAGGGGTGGTGGGATGGCCTAGTGGTCATGCCGAAGACCCGAGTTCGATTCACCACATGGGTAGAGCGCATGTGTGAAGCCCATTTCTGGTGTCACCCGCCGTGATATTGCTGTGATATTGCTAGAAGCGACGTAAAACCGTACTCACCCACACTCACATGACTAAAGATTTAGTCCAGCATATATATGGCATAAACACGGAACTTCTGAATGTCGGGACCCATGACGATCCAGTTTAGAATTGGTCTTCATTAACCCATGCTTGTCGTAAGAGGCAACTAACGGAATCGGGTGATCAGGCTCGCTAACTTGGCTGACACATGTCATAGTATCACGATTGTGTAGATCGATGCTCATGTTGTTGATCACTGGATTGTCTGGTCCAACTCGATTATTTACAGACCGCCGCCATATAGCTGGAATATTGCTGAGTGCGGCGGAAAACTAAACTCACTCACTCACTGGTTATTTAACAACTTGTATTTATTGTGTATATAAAACCTTTCTCTTCACTATATGACTAAAATATAGGTGACGTTAATTTTTGACGTTCAACTTCTTTGAATACTTCTACGGGAATTCCATCTAAACATGGGGATTTACCAACTATTAATTGCACACAGAATCTCATTATCTGTGGTACTACTATCAAGTAATTCATCTGCACTAGTACAGTCGTCACATCCATGAGCATTTTGGGGGCGGTGGGGTAGCCCAGTGGTTAAAGCGTCGCTCGTCACGCCGTAGACCCGGCTTCGATTCCCCACATGGGTACAATGTGTGAAGCCCATTTCTGGTGTCCCCCGCCGTAATGTTGCTGGAATATTACTAAAAGCGGCGAAAACCCATACTATCTCACCCTCGTTCTCATCTGTACCCCTTACCTTATACAACTGAGTGCGGCGTTAAACAACAACCAACCAACCTGAATGTAGGAATAATCTATATTCTCGGTTGTACAGGTTGTATTTGTGGTTGTAAATACTGTATTACATATGGTACGAGTATCTGCGTCTCGATAGCGTGCCGGGATTCAGTGCTTTTATCGAATGATCTCATCAGCAAACAGGATATGTATAGAGGACACATTTATGCAAGAATTATTTTCTCTGTCGGTTTCATATATAATATTGGGTAATGGCATACTTACTGTTACCCCGTACACGGCAGAAATGATAACTAAGCATGGGTTTCAGCTTGTTTCCCCAGACTGGGATTGCGCTGCACTGATTTAAAGGGTGTAACGAAAAACCGTTTAAACAATTCACACAATTACTTATTTTGTTGATATTAAACATTTTTAATAAACACAAATTTAGTCGGAGACTCTGTAATATGTGGATTTCTTTTGGATTTTCTGTTAGTATATAAGAGAATGTAACTATGTTCCCTCTTTTACTTGAATACATGTCATCTTCTCATTAATCCTGAACTGTATTATTCTTATTAAGTTGTTTATTCTACTTATTATTCTATTTTATATGTGATACATGTGGTCTCACCTTAGACAAGTGAGTTTATTCAAAACTGCCTTTGTTCACCCAGCAGAAAATGGGTACCCGGTGGGATAAGACATGTGACTATTATCAGGGATACTCTACAACAGGGATAGGTCACTCGCTTGCTTTCTTTACCATTTGTACTAATTAACGTGTGCCTCGTCATGCTCCAACGCACACAGTGACTTGGTTCGGTCCCAGCGCAACTTCGGCTGCGTTTAACAGTACTTCAGCCAGTGTATTGTATAGGTCTGAATTTTACAATGAATGAATGAATGAATTAAGAGCAAGAATTTTATGTGAATGAATGAAAGAAATTAAGAAAAAGAACAAAAGAAAAAGAACATATGTGAATGAATGAAAGAATAAATGATACACCACGACCATCCCTCCCCAAACATGTTAAAGAACGCAAAACTATCGGTAGAACCAGGGAGACTCTATAAGGTTGTTGAGTATCCCTGGAAGAACACATGTTAACATCAGCTGTCCTTTTTAAAAAAAAATTACTTTGAGACATTTGTTTACATTAGTAACTAATTCAGATATCTTATTGCATGTGTGGAATGGCATGGGCATTGACAGAATGTTAACTGACACTGTCACAGACCCCTCAAGAACAGAAAGTTTAGAACTATCACAAGCCTTGCAAACACCTTTCCAGTTTTGTCAAATACTAAGATCAACAAGAAAGAAAGAAGTTTTAGAACTATAACACTCAAGCATCACAAGCACCAATGGCGCATCAGAACAGATCGGCGATATGTCATATTTTTCACACACCTCAAATACACACTAACAAAAAAAAAAAAATTAAAACTATCACTATTACTTGCAAAAAACTTTCACCTGATGGTATATTCCCCTCATAAAAATTAAAGGTGTATGTGAAAGATGTTTTTGAACAATAACCTTATAGAGTCTCCCTGCTATTATCCATCTAGCGCCTCACTCTTAGTTTGGGTTATCCGGGGTAATAATAATCAGATTGTGCGCTTTAAGTATTCTTATAAATTGTGCACTTTGAGCAGGATATGAAGCCTGGAAAGGCGCAATATACATATTCTAATTCTCCTTTTTATCATTATTATTATTTTAAGCCATGCTAAACGCAGCGACAGCACGTTTCAGTAGCAAGCGATATCGTAGCACGCCGTGAAGTAGAGCTCCTGGTGCTCTAATATGTTCACCCGAAGAAGTATTATTCATACTGAACTGGTCCCCTGTCCTGTTCCTATGGCTCAGCTAGCTGGCCGCACAAGGGGGCGCAAGAAAGGCAGGGGACCAGTCTATTAAATACTGAGGGGAACAAAAGGGAATACCACTTCACCGCAGTGTTCCTCTTTTCTGAGATTCTCACCCACAGTGAGATACAAAGCTTGTGAAGAAACCTGTGCTTTCATGTGTTCCCTTACTTGTTTCCCTGAGTATATGTAAACGTTTATCAGGCTTTTGTCAACAGCGAGACAAGTGTAGCAACAAGGAAGTGAATTTACAGATTGTGGCGTACACTGTTGTAATATGATCCTTACTGAAGTAATAATACGTCATTTCGTTATTTCCTTCTCGGCATGTAGGAACTGTCCCGATTTACAGAAAACGTGACAACAGACAAAAACAAGAGATACATTTACAACATTAAAGACACACCATGCATTTAAAATAGAATGTTTCATAACGGAGGTGGAAAGGAGATCAAATTGTATTATGACCTATTTCCGTTCTCTGTGTGTGGTTAGCCAACTGTGAATAACAACCATGTACGTTCTCAGAACACATTCTTTGTTAAATATAGCCAGTATAATATATAGCACAGGCCTTTGTGTCTGCGAGGATTAAAGATTTAAAAAATGTTTTTGAGATGACCTCCGACTGGAATTGCTTCACAGTACAATACATCATGACGTATTGTCCTGTCAAGCATTTTGAGTCGGGGGTCATCTCAAAAATATAATTTAAAACTTTAATCTTCGCAAAGACACGGGGGCATGTGGTATATAACCCTTATATCCAACCCCATGTTGGACCGGACTGGTTTTCTGGGTTGTCTGCGACTACGACTGATGTAGATCCAATTAGACTGAACTTAAGCTTTGTACTCAATTATTTCGCGTTGTATTTTATGTCGGAATACAATTAGAAAATACACATCATAATAGAGGAGTGTCTCAACAATGATTGATGAGGTGGATATATGTTCATGCTATCAACCACTAGCTTGGCCGGGGTTATGACGTTTACAGACCCCATGGTGTATCATGCTCCGTCGTTATTCCCTTACGCTGCTTAGCCATAGCACACACAATGACTCACGTTTGCTCTTAATTTGACTGTCTTCTGGGAAATACAACGTATGCATTTCAATTGGGTTGAAGTTATGTCAAACGTTTGAAATATTTCAGGGTACTGGGGCCCGATCCACAATGTGTTCGTAGGGATACGAACATCGTAAACCTATCGTAACTTTGTGACGGAAAAATTAAGCGATCCACAAAGCTATCTTCGTGAAAACATCTCGTAAAGTTATGACAAAACCTTTCGCGAGGCCAGCGCTTATCGTAAATCAAACATTTCTGTCGTAACTTTAGCTTCAAGATGGCGGCATTTTTTGCTTGGCAAATTTGAAGGAGAGTCAAGACGGTCGCTGCCAAGGTTATTTTCGGACCGAACTCGGGTTCTCGATACGCTGAAAGATGACAGCGTCAACCGGCGCTATCATATGTCTACCATGTCATGCGGAGAGCGGAAGGTCGCGGGTTCGATCCCCGATCGCGTCATACCAAAAGACGTTAAAATATGGTACTTGTTGGACCCTGCCTGGCGCTCGGCATTAATGGGTACAACAAGGACTGGTCGGCTCGGAGTCAGTATAATGTGTCTGAGTGGGGTATTCATGCTTCACTGCGGCATGGTATCTCAGTGGGCTAGCACTTTAAAACCAGCTTCAGTCTGGGTTAGTACAAGCAGCCGCACATACACATACACACGCATGCACGTCGTAATATGAGCGAAATATTCTCAAGCACGACGATAAACCCAATTTCACC